GCTCTGACTTCTCTCTAGTTATTCCCGCAATAACCCCTCGGATAAGATACCCCCGGGTAGATTGTCCATCAATAGCATTAGTAGATTATGCGGACTTGATTAGTAGTTTTTCATCTAAAACTACTTGACGAGTTGTACTCAATTAGTTTTTAATACATTCAATGTCACTTTGTTATAAAGTAAGACTTTTATTTAAGAATTGTGTTTTGTGATATTTAATCATTAAATTTTATTGAATCTATATGATAAGTGAATACGGAGCACAATGTACAAGACCCATTTTATAAATCTTGATTCAGGCCCGAGTTTAGTTAGGACCGACACTATGTTTTTGCACAGACAAATGACAATTACATTTTGGCGTTTAACCTAAATGTATTGAATATTGTATACTCCGTATGTGAGTATGTGATACGTAAAAAAGTGTGTACACTCCCCCCCCCCCCCCCCCCCCCACCATGTCTATATCACAAAAGGTTATTCTATTGTGATTTCAAGCTCAACAAATAGGAGTAGGACTTTCGTTATCACCAAAGTCACTAATCACCGTCCCACACGAATGTTCTGTTTGGACGGCTGGGCGTGGAGTAGAGTAGAATAGGCGGAAGGAATCAACAAACAATACATTAGTCATTAGACATAGAAATAGTACGTACAAAAAGTAGTCCGTATGTAGCTGTCCACTTGTCCGTGCTTACATCAGTTCCTATACCGTGGGATCATCCCACGGTGAGCACCATGCTCCCACTCCCAAAACGACGTAGTTTTGCACAATCTTTTAAAAAAAAATCGCGTGAACAGTACACGCGTGTACAGTAACGGTTTTTTCCTTCTTTTTGTCCGAGTAGCATGAATGATGTAACTCACATGTAAACATATGTAACTCACGTTATTGATCAATGTAAATCAAGTCCAGTCGAAATGTAACTTTGTCAAATACATAGTTAAGACGTAAACTTTGATTTAAATGTAAATAATGATAAAAAAGAAGTCAAATTATTTTACATAAATAGCGCATATGTTTTTTTTAATATTAGAGCCATTAAAAATGATTGTTTTATAAAAATGATTTTGTTGTGTAACTCGTATTGTTTTGTGATGTAACTCGCATTATATCAAATGTAAATCAAGTGTAACTAAGATGTAACTTATTGAAAAAAATTGAAATGTAACTCAAACCAAAAGATATGTAACTTTAGATAAACTGAAATGTAAATCTTTTTGATAAAAATGTAACTTTTTTAAGCCTATGTAAATCTATGTTTGAAGATAGCACTTGATCCAAATCTACGTTTCAGGACTTCAAATTGTGTTTCAATAGCTTGGATAGGCCAAGGATGGCTATCCCGATGCAAAAACCCACTCCCTGCTTTAGGAGCCAGAAGCTGAAATCATCATCCCCTTGTCAGGCAGTCACTCCCAGTCCGGCTCCAATGCTGAAATCGATCGACGGTTGGGAGCAGATAGGCAACTTCCAGATGCTTTGTAGCAGAGCTTTCTCTTCCACAATAAGAGGTGTCGATATGCCGAGAAGCTTGCAGAGAAAACATCGATATAGCTTGGTAGGGGGTGCTTCTTCCGGCTCCAAATCACACGGCTTTACAAATCGGAAATCGCAGAGCTTTCGTAACGGCGCCGTTTGGGATCGGCACACCGTGCGCACGGTGGGCCGATCCCACGGTATAATTTGCCTGCTTACATAATAAAAACTCAAAGCTTTTGGGATTTTATTTTATTATTCCGTATCACCAACACACCGAATGGTATGTCGATAGAGATTAGAGAGATACTTAGTACATAAAAAAGATGAACGTGTACACCATGATGGATCTAGTTCCTAGAGTGCCTCAATTTGACCAAGTTCGGATGTTTTGTTTTGCACTAATCATATTTAATTGTTTAGCTTCATTTATTTAAATTTTATGGAGTATATGTTTGATCTGATTAGATTTTGTAATGAGATTGAAATAAGTTCAAATAAAAACATCTTGTCGAATATAACTGTAGCATTTAGTTTAGAGTGTTTTTAATTAAAGAACGGAAGTGAATGATGGATTTTTATTTATAAGTTTATCCATTTCAAAATTTGTACATAACTTAAAAAAGGCGGTCGTCCCTCTCGTTAGGGTTTCAAGCTTCTCCGCAGATCGCCATTTTGGTGGTCGTGCGGTTTCGTTTCAGCGGCAATGGGCAGACTCACTCTGTGCATTAGAGACAAAGAAGCACTCTAACGAATATGGCTGGAAACGCAGGACAGATGGAAAAGTTGATTGGGCAGTGCGGCAGTTTGAAGATCGAGACTGAGGATCGGATGACGAACTGGTGCTCGATGAGGACGACACTGCGGACAGCATGGAGCAGACGTTTCCGGGGCTGGTCCCCCTCTAGAGCCACCACCATGGAGTACAAGAGAGTCTAGGGTTTGGAAGAAGATGAGTGAAATCTGTTTTAATTCCGTTTTAATTTATTTGTGTTTTTCTTTCGAAGTGCATGTTGTTTTGGGTGTGTTTTTATTTCCTAGCGAAAAAATTCTAGAATTTAAGTCAGTTGATGAGAAGTCTGGTTTGTCTGTCATTGACTCAGTTAAGCCCATTACAGGACCAGCAAATCTTATTGCTTCTACGGAGGTGATAGATTCTAAGTCCGGCTCGAGAGAGACGGTAGACAGAAAACTTTTTGTCGTTTTGTAACTTGCTTAAGTTCTGTTATTTTAATATAAGCCACACTCTTCCAAAATAAATTAAGTTTATCCACATTTCTTAGTTTTGGTCTTTTAGACGAGCAATAGCTATATGAATAGTTAGACAATTAAGGGAAATGTCTAATTATAGTACAAATTAATGCCTAATCATGTCCAAATATATTTACATATAGTCTATGCGCGGTTTATGTTTTGACATCCAACTAGGCATCTTTCTTTTTCTTTTTAACAAAATGTCTATTAAGATTTTTTCACATTCTTGCCTTTCAAGTGTTTGGCTAGTCCTATGATTTTTTGGCCCTTGAAGATTAGGTTATCCTTATTAAAATTTGTTTAGCTAGCTCCTTCATTTGGGGTTAAGTTAGATCTTTTAGGTTGTTAATTGGGGTTTTTACTTGAATATTACCAATTTTGAACAAATTATCAAAAAAGTGACCACTTTTAAAAAAGGGCAAAAAAGTGATCAAGAAGGTCATATATGTGGTATAGGAAACATGATGTCACTACAGAGATTTTATGTCTCTGTGTTCGTTATTTTTGTAACTAAGAATCGTCACGGTCAAATTTTTTCACGCCAATTACACCCCCACCGCCACCGCCACAGTGACGCCGCCACAGTGACGCCGCCACAGTGACACCGGTTTTCATGTCACTTCCGCCGCCAAGTGTGTCACTGTGCCGCCGTTAAAAAATCAAATGTGTCACTGTGCCGCCGTTAAAAAATCAAATGTGTCACTGTGCCGCCGTTAAAAAATCAAATGTGTCACTGTGCCGCCGCCAAACGTGTCACTTTGCCGCCATCACCATGTCACTTCGGTCACCACCGCTTGTGTTAGTGCCAAATGTCACTGCCCATTATTTACGTCACTGTAGGTATTGCTCATGTCACTGTCGCCACTGTGACATCTCCGTAGTGACAAACAATTACTCCGGCCACCGTCCTCCGGTCAGTCACCACCACCTCCCGCTAGTGACCATCACTCCTACCCGACAACCAAACCCTGCACTACCGCCAATACCCCACCCCCACCACTACCGTCACTGTCCCCACTACCCAGCCCCGCACCACCGCGACTGCCCATCGACCACCCCGCACCACCGCCACTGCCCACCGGCCAGTGGCCACGGGCCACCCCAAACCACCGTTACCTCCATTGCCAAGTCACCACACCACCGTCGTGGCGTTGCTGCACCACTCCCAGCCCCCTCCCCCACCTTACCAGCCCCCTGCATCGCGACCCCAACCAGGCCGTCACCCAACGCAGCGCCCCCACAACCCCCAGACCCAACCGTAGAAGAAAGGAGAAGGGGACCGTGACGGATATGGAAAACGTCGATCTGCGATGAGCTTCGTGACCTTCGTCAGATCTAGGAACAATGGAGTGCAGTGGAGAAGCTTCGTCAGACCCGGGAGAGGAAAACGACAATCTACGAGATGAAGAGAAAGCTTCATCTGATCTTCAGCAAGGCTTCGTCCGATCTGGAAGCGGAAGGCTTCAATTGAGCGCAGAGAGTCTTTGACTGAGCGCAGAGATGAGATGGGAGCGGAAGGCTTTGAGTCTTTGATGGAGTGCAGAGAGAAATCGAGTGCGGATGCATTGTTTTACTCACTTTTCTGTCCAAACGAAATCTGCTCATATTTTTATCTAATAAAAGGTGAGAAGTATTATTTGTGCCATTGTTTCTTGTTAATTTAGTCATTCCAGGATTTAATTAGCCCTTCAAGAGTTTAACTAGTCGTCTAGGGTTTAGATTTTCGAATTTGAGAGTTGAAGTTTAATGTTTAGTAGAGCTAGCGAAGGCAACGACCTGAGTGATGGACAACGGTGATTTCAGTGATGTTGGTAATATTATAGTAACAAAATTCTACCTTTATGATATTTTAAATATAATTTTTCTTGTTATACGAAAAACACATACTTGCGAATACCAGCTGGTCTCCATTTCACATTCCCTTATGAGAGGTCTCGGGTTCGAAACTCAATGGAGTGAGTTTAAGCCCAATTTACACTCCAGACCCCCTCCCCCAGTTGCCCCCTGGAGTAATAAAAAGAAAAAAGAAAAAAGATTAGTCACTTGTCTATTTAAGTGTACACCTTTTGACCAAAACCTCTTCTTTACTCTTCTTATCCCTAAGGTTAATTCCCACTTTACTTTTTGACATGCACCAAAATTAAATTTACACTTATCCTTTTTGGCGATAATTGAGTGATAAATACTTGTTTACCCCTAAGAAATGTAAACCATTTGTTATTAGTTTATCTATCACAATGATTTAAAAAGTAATAAAGATGTCTACTTTTATTAATTCAATATACACACAATAATTTGAAAAAAAAATACTCATTAAGTTCATCCAAACATATGTATCAATACTAATTCAACCAATTCATAGAAATACTAATCTTCAACAAATTTGATAAAATTCAATAAATTACAAAATTACATACAAAAATAAAAAGTTTGAAACTAAGCCAATATGACTTATATGAGTCGGCAAAGGACAGTACTAGGAGGGGGCAGCATGTAGCGGCTGCGATTGTTCCATACCTGTAGCAAAAGGGAATCAATTTTAAATTTTAAATGCTTATTGTTGCGGTTCCATTGTGACCGTAGCAAATACACTAAATTTTCGGGAGCAAATGCTACAGGTCCTCCGTAACCGCTGCAAATAGTTCTCAATATTAACACATTGTTGCAGGTATACCTAAATCCGCAGCAACAAGGCAACAACAAATTACAAAAATTCTAGTGGTGAGTACATTGTAAAATGTCAACAAAGTATCATACAATTTACAATTAAATAAAAGAGATTGCCCAAATCAGGACTAGTATATTTTAGTTCTGTAAATAAGAATTATTATGGCCCAAAGGCTCCATTCCTATTGGCCATGTTTTGTCATTACCGGACGTTAAACATGACACTATGAAAATATTTTTTTAACTTACTATAATTACTCTTATTTAAGAAATAAATTTATAGTATCACTATTTTAAGACTCCAAAACATTTTTTATTACAAAGCATCTTCTATATTTAAGGAGGCATGCAAAACGTTGCCTGAACTTTTTGTGCTATTCCGATATAGATGACCCAGTGCGATCAGCCTAAATTTCATAAAGCAGTTCAAAAGTACGACAGCCCAAATAGAATTCAAGCTAGAAGTAATTACTTTATTAATTGTTTCAATCTCAACTAACTGTGAGATAATGATAGAGTACCAAAAATCTGTTGAATTTTTAGGGGTGCCATATCTCTTTACTTGTCATCCACATAGAGCTAGAAATCGAATAATATGCAGTAACGAGTTTGGCTCAATAGTTTCACGTTTCCATCTTCCCAAGCAATCGAGAATTTGCAAACATTTTAAAAATATATGCATGTATATCGATTAATCGATAGTTAAAAGTAAAATTGGTCAATATACTCCCTATAGAGAGAAAAGTTCGGGTCCAGAATTCCATACCAGAACAGTCGTCCGAACGGCACCATATAAGCAAAGAGATCTATCATTTTTAATAGCTTTGATTGCCTCAGGAACATGGCCTTTTATATCTTCATGAAAAAAAGTATTTCATATTTTCCAAGGATGCCAAATAATTATATTCGGAAGAACGAAATTAAGATCCTGCTATGGGCCTTAAAAGTCCTTATACCAGCGCACCATAAAATCAGTAAGGTTACCTTCATGAGGGGGCGGAATTTTAAAATATTTTCAAAGTAGTTCCAGATTTCTTTGTCAAGATCACTCCTTAGGAAAAAAAAATGAGCATCGGATCCTACAATTACCTTTTGCCATCCAAAGGAAGCAGACCAATTGACCGCTTCTTCAATCGCCAAAGCCTCCGTAGTACCCGGTAAGAATCTTCCTCTTAGTTCTACGCTTCTAGCTGAAATGAACTCTCCCCTATTGTCCCTAACGACTAGTCCAATACATTGGCCGTCGCCGTTTGTTTGAAGGGCAGCGTCAACATTGACTTTGACAAAACCTTACTCCGGTCGCTCCCACTTCAATTGCTTTGTCGACCGTGTACCCTCAAAAAATGTTGTCTCTGGTCCATTCCTCCATCCAGACTGTACAGCTTCGCCACATGCTATTACTCCACTTCCATTTGAGCTAAGATTTCTCCAGGTCTTATCGTTTCCGCCTTTCCAAAGGCTCCAGCAGGATACAACAAAAACACATAGCTCTTCTTTAGATAAACTGATACACATACCCGCAACCCATTCCCCAAAAGTAGTCGCTGCCATTCCTCATTGAAACCATCCCCTTTTGTGCTAAACATCTACAACTACTGTACAGTCCCTAAGCAAGTGCAAAGAGCTCTCCTCGTTTAACCTGCAGATCGAACACTGTAGCCAAACCGGTATACGCTGTTGTAAAAGGCGCTGCTTACTGGGTAGACAGTCCGTGCAAGCCTTCCTAAAAAATACTTTTATCTTGGGCAGTAACTCAAGCTCTCCTCGTGTTAGCCTTCGATAGTAGCTTCTAACAGAATAAATGCCTCTAGGATCATCTGCTTAAATCAAAACATCATCGCCACTTGGATCCCGCAATGGCATACTCCGAATCAAATCCCTATCCTCCTCACAACAAAGGTCGTTTAGGATGACGTCGTCCCACCTATCTCCCTCTGATGTCATGAGTGAGATCACATGGACATCCTCCAACCCTGCAATAGCATCCTTCGCTGACCATCCCCCCTCTAGAGAGATAAGCCGCTTATCCTTCCAAACTTTCATGGAGTTTCCGTTCCTATGCGGCGGATAAGCCCCTCTTTAATTGTGGGAATTGTCGTCGAGATGCTTCTCCAAATAAGAGATGGATTGTTCCCGCATTTGGCATCAAGAATATTTCCATTGGCAAACTACGTGACGCGAAGAATGTTGCCTACCACCAAAGAGTTTGGGTTTCTCAGCATACGCCAGACTTGTTTACCAAACATAGCTATGTTGAACTCCCTCAGCTTCCGGAACCCTATTCCACCCTTGGATTTGGGTGAACAGAGATCTCCCCGGGTCTTCCACCTAATGCCCTTTACTTTAAAAGCATGACCTCTCCACCAAAAAGCATTCATAGTTCTCTCGATATCATTGCATAAATCAGCTGGCAATAGAAACACGTTCATATACTGTGGCATGGCTTGAATAACTATTTTGAATAGCACATCACATCCTGCCTTTGATAGAAACTTGTTATTCCAGCTTTGAATTCTATGCACCATTTTTCCTTGATATATCCAAAATTTTCTTTTTTATTCCAACCCACCATAGACAGTATGCCTAAATACTTCCAACCACCCCTTTCCTCTGACTCCAAAAATAGTACTCAAATAATCCATGTCATCCCAGGCAACATTTGCGCTAATACGCACATTGGATTTATCGAAATTCACTAGCTGGTCCGGTGCCTTAGAATAAGCATTTAGGGCATCTTTTATGGCGATGCAACCGTCTCAATAGCCCTGCAAAATAGAAAGTTGTCATCACACAAAAAAAGGTGTGACACTGAGGGGGCCTTTTGGGTCACACGTATGCCTTGTATCGACCCCTCATGTACCTTTCTCCTAAACATAGCACTGAGCCCTTCTGCAATTAGAATAAAAAGATAAGAAGATAAGGGATCCCCTTGTCTTATCCCTCTAACAGGTAAAATAGTTACAAGCATATCCCCATTCGCCTGAATATGATAGCGGACAGAAGACACACACATCATGGTTAATTTTATCCATTTCTCATAATTGAAATCTGAAAGCTTCCATAATAAACTTCAGAAAATTCCAGTCCACTCGATCATAAGCTTTGCTCATATAAAGTTTAAGTGAAACATACCCCTCACGACCTTGGTTTTACGCTTGAGAAAATGTTGGGTTTCGAATGCCACTATGATATTATCAACGATGGACCTGCCTGGGATAAATGCATTTTGATTTTCGACTATAAGACCGTTCAGCCGAACTTTTAACCGATTGGCCATCACTTTGGGAAAAAATTATATGCAACGTTGCATAAAGTAATTGGCCTCCAATCACCTAAATTCAAAAGATTTTCTTTCTTCGGAATCAGCACAATGGTGGTGTAATTGTAGCCATCGGGCATGCGAACACGTACTGTCAAAAATATTAGCACAAAAGCTCACCACTGCGGGCCCCACAACATCCCAAAAAGCTTGAAAAAACCCTGGATTTAATCCATCTGGTTCTGGAGCCTTATCAGGGTGCATACTATAAGACGCATCCTAAACCTCATTTTCTGTGATGCTACAGATTAAGTTATTATTCTGGGTTGTACTAACCTTGTTTTGTATCATCCCCAACTCCACCCGAACCACATCTCCTGCTTTAGCAAACATATTCGAAAAATAATGCAGGATCATATCATTTAAATCCCCTTTATTTGTCACCCAATTACCAGCTTCAGAAGTTAGACCTTTCATAACATTTTTTACGTCTCCTCTGTTTCACAGAATTATGAAAATACATGGTATTGACATCTCCCTGTTGCAGCCAAAACTCCTTCGCTCTTTGCCTCCAAAGAGCATCTCGTTTCTCGATCAGCTCTAGGTAAAAGTGCTTGATCCTGGAAAACTCTGCAATACCAGCCACATTGGATCTGCCTCGGAGTCTCTCCATCTCTGTCTTTAGCACCCGTCAATCCTCCTCTGAAAACCACGACAAAGATGCTTACCCCATTTGCACAGCTCCACACCACAGAATTGTAACCTATCAACAAGCGTTTTATTGAGGCTCGAATCTCAGGCCTGCTCCACCACATTACGACAGTCTTTCTCCTTCAACCAGCGATTATCAAATGTGAAGCCCGGCCTTCCTTTGCGGGTTGCACTTTGATTGAAGGGTAGAAATAGTGGTAGGTGATCGCTACTGCCTCCTACAATAGAAGTAGCCCAAGCATTTTCGAACATAGCTAGCCACCCATTGTTAACCAGAATTCGATCAAGTTTCTCTTCCACCTAGTGACGGCACTATCGTCATTGTGTGCCTCAAAATAATATTCAATACCCGCACTAATATTGGGGTTTTAGATTGTTGTTGAACTTAAAAGTATTAAAACACTAAAATGAACAACTTATATGTTGTTTAATTCAACAGAGATGAAGACTTGGTAGCCACCATCGCCGCCGTCACCACAACTAAGAGTCGTCGACGCAACACACATCTACCTCTTCTCCAAGTACGTCGCCCCTGCATCGTCCTCGCTGCTGTTGGATGGAGCGATTGTTGCAAGTGGCAACCCTACAACAACAACAACATCCAAGCCTTAATCTCAAAAGATTTTGGGGTCGGCTAACATGAATCGAACCATGATATAAGTGCCAAAAATAGAAGAGATACAAGAAGAAGAAAAAAGTAAAATAAAATGGATAAGATAAAAATACATATAAGAGAACAATAACATAAGATCATAAGAAAGATGAAAGACAAAAAGATAAAAGAGCATAAAAAGTTGAAAGATAAAAAAATGACATAAGAACATAAAAAGATAAAGAAGATAAACGATAAAAGAAAATGAGAGAGGAAAGATTGAAAAAAGATCAATCATCCACATGAATGTGCACCCTCCACTTTACTCTCTCCCAAGCCATACTCTCGTCCAACCCAAGAAGAAGCATATCAATTCTGATTCCTCTAATCCAAGTCTGTTTGGATCTTCCCCTCCCCACCTCTAAAGTCGTCTAACAGATGCATCATCCAATCTTCTATGCACATGATCAAACCACCGCAAATGAGACTCCTGCATCTTATCTTCTATAGGTGCTACTCCCACCTTTTGCCTGATTATCTCATTCCTCAAGCGTTTTTTTCTAAAATGTCCACACATCCAACGCAATATACACATCTTTGCGACACTCATCTTTTGAATGTGACATACTGACATTGTTTCACCGCCCAACACTCTACGCCATACATTAATGCAGGCCTAATTGTTGTTCGATAAAATTTAGCTTTCCGTCTAGGCGACATACCTCGATCACATAGAAATCCTGATGCACTCTTCCATTTCATCCACCCAACTCAAATTCTATGGGATACATCTCCATTTAATTCAACATCTTTCTGAATTATGGAGCCCAAGTAATGGAACATATCACACATCGGTATCTCCTTACCATCAAGAGTAATCCCACTGTTGCTACTACTATTACCTCCATCAAACTTGCACTCCATATACTTAGTCTAAAACCCTTGGACTTCAATGTTTGTCGCCATACTTCCAACTTTGCTTTAACACTGAATTGTGTCTCATCAATCAATGAAATATCATCAGCAAACTCATGCACCACGGTATATCTTCTTGAATTGACTTCGTAAATTCATCTATGACTATAACAAATAAGAAAGGACTCAGAGCCGATCCTTGGTGCACTCCGATAGTAATATGAAACTCTGTTGTCCTCCCTACACTAGTAGGGACACTTAGTACAAGCCTCATACATATAGTGTGTAAACTTTTCGTAAGTTTGTTTTTACTTATAGCATTTTCCTGTCTTTACTCATCAATTTCCTTTATGGAAACTCTTTTTCTAAGACGCGAGATAGAAGCCAAATATAGAATACTCTCACTTGTATCATCAACGTGGACAATTGATGAAATCACCAAACCTGCATCTTCATCCTCTAGGTCCAAGATTCCAATCTTCTGCATTGATGTCCCAGACCGGTCTGCCTGGCCATCCTCGTTGATTTACCTTTGTCTCACTACTATATGAAAATAACCACACTTTCGTCTTTCGATGGCAAAGAAGAATCGCTAACCCTAGTGATATTCCATGCCTTTAGTGCCAAAAAAATCGTATCTTTTTTATTGTATTAACCCTTGTTTTAAACCCAAAAAATCCCTTTTTAGTGACTTATGATGCCTAAAAAGGAATTTAATTATCTAAGATCTGAAAAATAGATGTATATTATCAATCTGAGACCTGAAAGATAAAATTTGTCCATATAACACCCAAATAATTGAAAACTTCAATGTAGGACCTAAAAGGCTAAAACTCCATAGGTTTTGATTTATTTGATAATTTTAATAATTTCATTGCTAATTGTTGATGAATTTTTCTTCACAAAAGTTTATTAGTCTAATAGAATTAAATAATATTTTCACTGTTGTCAACACATTTCATCTTTCTGGTTCCAAATTGATAACTCATTTATCTTTCAGGACATGGATTAATAAAATTCTTATTAAAAATGAGGATCAATTACCATATTAATTATTTACAATATATACTCCCGTAACATAATATGATTTTATTTACAGATGTGTTATCGATCAATTTATAAAGGATAGACATGATACCACTAAACCGACAATGTTTTTATGAACAAATAAAAAAACACAAAGTTTGCACTGAAATATCTCCATAGTCTCTGTAAGTCACATTTTCATACCGTATCATATTTACTTCTTCCATGCGTTGGAACTTGAAACTCCACATGTCCACTGTTCCACATATAGCATAGAAATCAACAAAGTGGTAATATTTTGGACATTTGGTCAATGTCCAATCTTTCGGAACGAAAATTTTGCTTTTCAGCTTCGTAGAAGTTTGGGGCCAGAATTTGAAGCCATCCATGAAACAATTACATCTATTAGCTGATCAAGGTCTTTGGGTACTTCAGAACGAAGGACATTTGAGTCTCCGCTGGCCAAGGCATTGCCTACTTCTTTAGCTAAGGTTTCCCATGGTGTTCCCGCACTCAAATTTGCCAGAAGCTCCCCACTCTTGTTAACGACATTCGTCATTGCAGGTGGTACATCTGGGAAAGCCTGAAAAATGTGGTCTTACTCATGACAAGATTTATCATAAAATGCAGGGTTAAATACATTTTTTCTGTTCCTCTGACAATAGGGGGTTTTGCAGAATAGTGTCTTTTTGAAGTTTTTTGACAACTGAAGCTCATCACTTTAAAATATTGATAATTTAATCCCGCAGTTACAGAAATTTGCTTGCAAGTACAGCTGGCACTAGGGAATTGGTGGTGATATAACATCTTTACTAAACAAAAAAATGATCTAGTCAATTATGATTAGCATTTTATCGTCAGTATTACATTCTCAAACTTTTACATAAAACGCATTCCAATTCCAAAAAATTATGCCATTACGGGACCAATAGTTGCACATTACGCCAATGCGTATAAAGACAGGCTCCATTCGTACATGCACATACACACATACATACACAAAAATACACACACAAATGTATGTATGTATATAGAAACCTCTTCATATAAGTGTCATCTCATAAATATCAACTTATAATCCCCGCCCTCAATTTTTATACTCCCTCATCCCAAATTCATAATCCTGTTTCAGATTTTGAGGTTTGACTGATGGAAAAATTAACTTTTCCCTGAAAAAACTGTATGTATAATTTACAATTGAAATTTATATATTTAGAAACTACATCAAAAAACGTATCGAATCGCAAAAGCTTAAGTTAAATATGATAAAAATTTGATGCATAAAATTAGATATTAAAGGTGAATTGAGTTGACCAGTGAAAAGTAAAACAGGACTATCATTTTGGGAAAGAGGTACTAATCAATAGCTAACTATCATGAGGTGAACTTTCGCAATTTTCCTAAATTCAAGGCAACAACTTTGTACTACCTATGTCACACTCTAAGGTTCTCATATAAAAAACGAGAAGCTTTTTAAGATACTAATTAAAGAAACTGATTTGAGTATAGTTTAAGAAGTAGTTTGAGTGAGTATATAATATAATAGGGCAATTGATTATAATGGTGATGTTAGGTGTATTAAGTTTAGGGAAAATTCCCGAAATGGGAGTAGAACGTTTTGGAATTCCAAAATAGGACTATCATGTTTTTATTCCCTAAATAGGAGTAATTACTGCCATCTTTGGAAAATACTGACATGTTTAAAGTCTTGTACTGTCAAAACATGATAGTAATGACCACTACGTACTATTTAAGGAATAAAAACATGACAGTCCTATTTTGGAATACACAGACATTTTTACTCCTATTTAGGGCAACTTTTGTTAAATTTTAAGATGTGATGATTAAATTGTCATTCAAGAGAGTTAATTATATCCTAAAATGGAAAAGAAAACCTTTAAATGGAATGTACAAAAAAGGCCAGTGAGAACCTTTGCGTGAGAGGGAAGGAGTAATTATTATTTTGTAAATGTTAGAAATTGATTAAAAAAGAAAGTGTAGATTAAAAAATTCAATTATAAGATGTGCTTGTGATAAAAAGCTATTCTCTCAACAACTCTCTCATATATATAGATGCACTCATACATACATATATACATGCATACATATTTTTTTTATTTTTTATTTATTTTTACCTGGTGTAGAGGAAGTCCATGGCCACCGGGTAAAGATCGAATAGACATATCCAACACTGAACTGATGGCAGAATCCGTACTAAGCAGCTGAGCTAGTGCCGATGTTTCATCAATTGTGTCATCTTTGAACTTTATTAAGAGATTCCTTGAAATGCCATAGTAAGACTTTATCTGTAGATGGGTTACCATCTAATGAGTGGGTAAGGTGATGAAATGCTGCTTTTTTCATTATTAATATTATGAATAGCATTGAGTTCAATACATACACAATATAATAAGGTTGGATAAACAGCAAAGAAATTGTGTCATATATTTAGATTTGCACACCAATAGCAATAGAAGTCCGTTTCAAGTTATATGTATTTGGGTTAGAACTCTGGTAAATCCGACTCAGAAAAGTAGAGAATTAGGAAGAATTGATCAAGAAAACTGATCAAGAAATCTTTATTGATGTGAATAGTAGTTTACAGAAGGAATAAGGTAGCCACAGACAATTTGAGATGCCCAGTCTCCCAAAATCTCAGTCCAACGAAATACAGCCTACCTTTGTTAGAAATTAAACTTGGCTTAGCCCAATCAGTTAACTTCTAATGGGCCCAATGATTGGGCTAAGCCAAGTTTAATTTCTAACAACCTTTTACTCATACAACTACTAGCCCAATAAGTTAACTTGTAATGGACCCAATGATTGGGCTAAGCCAAGTTTAATTTCTAACAACCTTTTACTCCTCCCCTCCCCTTCTATTTATACTACTATATGTACACTTACTATTATTATTATTATTATTATTATTATTATTATTATTATTATTATTTCTATTATTAACCTACTAAGCCAGATTCTTATCAATACTCTCCCCCTAAACAACCACCTTGTCCTCAAGGTGGGTGATAGGGATCAGCCTTGACTATCAACTTTATCTTCATCCGAGCGCCTCTCCCTTCCGAGTACAACATTGTGTTCTGGATCCTTAGCTTCAACACTTGAGCCATCCTCTTTACCTCCACCCTCGCATGAATGAGCAGAGGCGATGACACTGTTGGGTCATGCTCCCCTACTTTGTCACTCATAAAGATATCCATAAACCTAGTGATAAAAACATTCCCAACCTCCTGTTTGGATTGCCAATGAAGAGAGCTACGGGTACAGATTGCTTGTTGAATAGCTTCACAATGAATATTCAGTACATCCCACAATGTTCCAGCAGCTGTGATTCCCTTAACAGTTTCTTGTTTTAAAAATAGATCCACGAGGTACCCTATCTGGGAGACATCAATCCCAACTGCCTGAAAGGTAGGATCCAGTTCCACATTGATTCCACCCAAATGATATTCAAAATCACTCTCATCAGCCCCAGACTAGAAGCTTGCCAATCCTGTTTTCTGATAGAATGCTTTCTTGCATAATTGAAACATCAGTTGAAGAGCATAATGACTGCTGCAATGACACTTCCAGTCGACTAATTTCATTATTAACCGATTCCTTGGCAGAAAGTACCAAATTGCAACCTTCAACATCAATAACCAAAAACTGGTAAATTTCAAAACCAGGTTTCAAGATATACTTCCTTAACCCAGCAAGATTACTATGATCGTATAAATGTTCGGGAAGAATCATTCCTTTCAAAAAAAATTGGAGCCTCACGAGTAACTAAATTGATGGTTCCAGAAATGACCTTTCCCGGTTTAACCAATTCATTTTCGGACAACCTTATCGGTCTTGTTGTACTGCAGTTGATTCGTCTTGCTGTAGGGATAGAACTGACCTCTCTGCACTTAACAACTTGCTCAACATGATACCTTGAGTTTATTTCAGAGCTAGGATCTACTCCAAACTCAGACTGTGGACACAAACCTTGCCCCCCATTGTAGATTTGAACAAGAAATAATTACATAAATATGACCAAAATAAAGATGGTTTACAAAAATATGATTCATTACTAGAGTAGTAATGAAATCATAGTAATTTATGTTCAAGTTTTGAACTTTAGTTACCACAGCACTACGTTGTAGTAATGAATAGTTATATTTATGTAAATAAGTTTCATTTTAGTAATATTCTCGTAAAAAACCCTTTGAACAAAGCAACCCTGGTTTTCAATCTTCATCCCTCCCTGTGTCATTCCCCTAACAATTTCAGCAACCGTTCTGACATCAATGATGGTTTCCGAGCCAGCATAAATTGCTGCTGATTCTTTCTCTTCATCAGTTTGCCATTCTGATAGTGGCCTCCTGTCAATCAACACCTTACAATCTTCAAATTAGCGACCTAACCGTAGATTTGGAATTTCCAGAACCTCAACAGCTTTATCCCTATAACTAATACATGTCTCGTGATCTGCATACTTCTTCATAGTGTTCCCCTCTGCTATTTTTTCAATTTCCTCTATACAGGCAGTCCCTGTAGAGCTTTCCCAATTATTTGAACCAGTAAATTTATCAACAACAGATTCATATTCCATGAAAATAGAGGATTGAGTCACCACAGCAGATTTGTCCTCTCGTCCCTCATCCTCATCGATAAGCGTATCTTTAGAGAGAGGTTGCCGTGGCTTTCCAGACTCCTGCGACTCGGACAGCAATGGCGAACTGGAAGCTTCTTCTTCTGGTCACATCATACATTGAAGTGAACTGCTAGCGTATGATGAAATCTGCGAACCTGGAGACACGGCTTGCAGAGAAGATTGCAAACTGGAAGAAGATATTGGCAAGGAAACCTGCGAACAACTGAGGGAGTCAACTTGCGATGATGAACTGTAAGGAGAAACAGTAGTTCGCGTAGAAGATTGCGAACTGAGAGAAATTCTTGGCGATCGCGTATACTGGTTCTCTGTCTTTAGACTGCGTGTAGGCTGGAAACACTGAGTTATGGCTTCCTTCAGAGCCTTCCAATTCTCTTCTCTTGTTTGAGTTTCCCTCCATGGAAACCAGGCTAACGCTCTTTCCTCCATCGCGCCCGCGGCTACTTCCACTTTATCTTTTTCCGCAATAGCCTTGAGACTGAAATAATGTTCCATCCTAACGATCCATCCATAAACTTCATCTCCATTAAACCAAGGTAGGTCCACTTTTCTTCCAGCTTGTGCAGGTGTTCTATCTTCCGTGGGGTATATATGATCAAAATCAGACAAAGAACGTCCGGAATTACCTCTCGATATCACGGGGCTATGGTTAATTGTCTGATGCTGCTGTTGCGAGGCGTGCGAAGAAACTTTCGCACTATGACTTAGCGATGATCCCTGCGAACTGAGCGAAGCCTTTCGTGATTGCGAACCAGAAGAAACAGTTCGCAACTCCTTCTGCGAACTGGTAAGCGATTTGCGATGTGATGCGTAAGAGGCATGGGATCGGCTTCGCGGACTACTCCGGATTTTATTCTCCAGATTTGCGATGCTCGCCTGTATCGCTGCCATGGTCGTCGCTATTTCTTTCATTGAGGTATGTTTCTGCTCTATGGTTTCCATTCTGTTCTCCATTTTTGGCTCTCGTCCAGACCCTCCATAACTGAAACAGAAATTTTCTGGTATTGCGTCTACAGTTCTGATCACCAGAAACGATGCTCTGATACCAATGTTAGAACTCTGGTAAATCCGACTCAGAAAAGTAGAGAATTAGGAAGAATTGATCAAGAAAACTGATCAAGAAATCTTTATTGATGTGAATAGTAGTTTACAGAAGGAATAAGATAGCCACAGACAATTCAAGATGCCCAGTCTCCCAAAATCTCAGTCCAACGAAATACAGCCTACCTTTTACTCCTGCCCTCCCCTTCTATTTATACTACTATATGTACACTTACTATTATTATTATTATTTTTATTATTAACCTACTAAGCCAGATTCCTATCAATTTGTAAATGTAGATCGTCACAAAATCACATAAAAGCATGATCTGTATGGACTTTTCAACTAATAGTATCAAGATTTTGATGTCTGAAAATTATATACTGCTTCATTTATCGCTAACAATGAAAATCTTGAGCCTTCCTAAAGATCTTAGCCTGAAACTTTTAGTAAGCAAAGGCCCAAAAGCCAATCTTGATTCTTTTGAAATTGTATAGGTCAAATGACTGAAGTTGCTGAAAGTACGGCTGCTATTTCTGAATTGGGTATTTGGGTTAACTTGATGAATTATCCGATAAAAAAATTAAAATGATTTTCTAAGTCCAACCTTGCTGTATTCTGCATGTATGCTACTCAATGGCTATAAATACAGGTGTAGTCTAAACCTACAGTACACACATGTATGTGAGGACATAAATGTCATTTCCATTCATTCCAACAACATGAGCCAAATAAGCACACTTCATGCACTTTTCACTTATCAATTAATTCCTCTAGGGAAGTAAATTAAGTTAGTGTTTGGTAAAAAACAGGTTGATAAGTCTGGTAAGTAAAACAGACATGTACCAAAGGGTTGATGAATAAAAAGTTAAGCATATATAGAAGACTCTTCACAGTAGGTTTACCGTACTTTTTTTTTTGGGTAAAAGGTTTACCGTACTTGTAAACCTATCAGAAGCTGTCAAAATAGTCAAGTCATAATTGTTTCAAGCCGGTGAAGAAGACAAGTCAATTATAGGTGTGATCTACTATATGACGATAAATACTCCAAAAATATATATCTAACACTAATTCTGGGAATTTTCCATACCAGTCTTTTTGTTTCTTCTGGTCTGGGAGTAAAATTTTCTCTTCCATTAATTAAGTCCATATATAAAGGAGGAAGCTGTTCAACCAGCGGAAGTACTTGCTTCATAACAGTAGGGCTAAGAGTCTGTAGCTGCTTTAGAGTCATCGCTGCCTGTAGACTTAAAACAAGGTCAGCATAAATACTTTTTATTTAGCCTCACACTGCTGATGCATGCGGATTTGAGGAGAAAAGTATGAGATAGCAACCTCTTCAATGTATAGTAAACCTTCATTTGGAAAATACTAGTATACTACTCCATAGTAAATTACTGAGACTATGTTTACAACATGGAGGATGGTACAGAAAGAGAAAAAAGGCAAAGGAAAATAGTTCTTTTCAATTAAACTTTTTGGCTTTACCTTAGAAAATGCAAAGAAAAATCAAATTTGATTCAAACATTCTGAAATTTTACAGATTTTTATAATCTGTTGTTATATAAAAGGAATATAAAAATAATTTCAGAACAAATCAGGTAGTTCAAATAGAGTCACTTGAAATCCAGCAGATATATAAATTGTACACCAAGAGACAAGCAATTAAAAGAGCATTTCATGAATAGTATTAAATTGCCACTACACCTGTATCAAGTCCTAATCAAACAAGACAAATGTCATCCTAATTGTTGGTAGCAGACAATTGACAGAGAAAAGCCGAGTAATACAATACATGCATAGCAAACATAGGAATCTTTACAGTACATTTGGGGTATCTATATATATAAAGTAAATACACACACACATACTGTACTCTTCTAATGAAGGGTGTAGACCACACTAAAAAAGAAGCGGTTTACAAATGGGGTGATAGCAAATTCTGTCTAACAAGAGATCTGGTTTGGGAGTTGAAGAAACTGGTGGCAGACATGCGGTGCGTCGGTGGAATTTTAGGGCTAGATCGCGCTGAGACCTGAACCTATTGGTTATTCTTCAAACACTAGTAACATAATATGTGTTGGATAAGGAAACAATTGTGTGATGAGCGCAGATCAGACTACTTGCACCGTGCTACTCTTATCATTAAGTGCTTCTCGTTTTTCAGGTGATAAAAAGACAATAAATTGTAATTCGCTGAGTACTTCAATTGCATTATTTTTAACACTTAGTTCTGATAACATGTAAATTGTGTAATTACATTGCATACGCACACACAATCACAATAATTGAAGAACTAAATTCAGTTAATTGTAAACTAATCTCTGTAGAAAATATCACAGGGACAGTGCCAATTTTTTATTTCAAAATTCAAATAAATCCCACTTGAAGGACAAACAACCACATAATAGACAGGTCATATTTATTTTGGGAATGTCCAATTAAAATTACATATGCAGTGTTGCTATTGTAGAAAGTAGAAACTCTTACCCCAAGACGGACTGTTGGTGATGCTGCAATTTGTGAAAGAAGTGGTTCAATGCTTTGAGCCATTGGCACAAGGAACGGGGAGAACAATGGAACTGCAAGGCTCGCATCCTGAAATTTATTGAAGCTTGAGTCAAACATCTTAAATCACAAATGACTAATTGTTGAATACAATAAGATCTAGTGCCAAGTCTTTAAACCGTACACACTGAAAAGAGTTATATACCAATCCAAGCTATCTGTTATCACCCAACATTTCCAATAAATAATGGATCAGGCATTTCCTTTACCCAAATCAAGAGATATAATCCGCGGAAGATGACGGGGAGAGAGAGAGAGAGAGAGAGAGAGATGGAGTTTGAATAACTGAAATCATTCCGGGAATTGAGGAGTTCAGTGAAACCACACAAATTTTAGGTCACTTGTACTTCGCCCTCCAAATTCCATCATTTGCAATGGAGTCAAAGATTCATTATTTTTTGGCTTGAGAATATGATGGAATAAAGCAAAATGGCTCACTAAACTGTCTGTGCTTCTTTGTTATGAAGCAGCGGTCAGTCCATGCAATTTTGGACGCGATTTTCACTATGGGTCATCCTGAAACAGTCTCTCTGTGCTTTAGTACAGGGGTAAGACTGTGTACATCCGACCCCCCCTTACCCCACCGTAGGTGGGAGCCTTTGCGGCACTGGGGTAAATGAAAATGATGATGTACTTAGCCCCCCAAGAAAAGTTCAGTGTGTCATTCCTAGAAGAAGCATCTTCTGTTCTCACTGGGTCCAGAAAGTTGGAAAATGCCAATTTAGACGCTTTAGAGTGGAAAATGAGGCATCTTGATGAATCTCATTATTCAGATTTATTCAAAGGGTACGGGCAAATTTATATGCAAGATGAGACCTTGTAGAGAAATTAGGTAAAGCTGCTTTACTTTCATTTCAATTTCCTGGCAGTCACGCTTTCAAGCAGCACAGACATAGTAAAAATTCGCATTCTCTCCTGCTGCCAGGGCCAATACACATTTCACCTAATTTGGTCCAAGACTATCTAATCAAGAGATCGTTGCCATTTTAATCCCAAAAAAATGAATTTTGGATAACCACTTTTAAACCTCCCTGACATTAAAAGTTCATAACTTATGCTGCATCTTATAAATTCCTTTTCCAACTTTCCTGAGCTAATATCACAAGTTCACAACTATTATCAGCCAAAAAAAGTTTATTCAAAACAAATTTGTTAACTCAAGCCATTAACTACCTTACTGTTAAACGACATTAATATGTTTCCACTTCTCTGAACAGCATACCTTGAGCCTGATTGTGAAGAAAAAATGTTATAAATTGCTGGAGATCATTAGTTCTTTTACATATTCAAATGATCAATATAGCAGGTATACTACCACATACCAATCAAAAGGTGAATAACAGAACCCAATGAGTGGCCAATGCCGAAAACCGGAAGATCTTCTACCTGCAAAGCACAAACAATAGTGATGATGATCCATACTATATTTTAATGCAATAGGTTAATCCATTTGTTTTGATTTATGAATAGTGGAATACAGTGAAAAATCCGAGAAAGGGGGCAAATTTGCAACAACATTATACCATATGCATGATCGCAGACAAAGGAGGATCTTGTTAGGGCTATGGGGGGCTGAAGCGCAACGCAGGGCAACTTAAAAAACTTTCAATTTTTTAGTGTAATTTTTTCCATAACACTTTTAATGGATAAATGAAATGATGCAGATGGACAACACGACTCATCTCTAAAAAACATAAAGATGTGGCTTTTATGACTTCACAATTGTTTATTTTTATTGTATAGTATAGTACTCCGTACTATAGACCATATATCATCTCTTAAAATGAAGTTTTCATATTTCTTATTTGCATCATATTTTGATCACATGTAGATGACATATGTTTTCATGTGTCATCCGGAAACAGTCTTTCTATTCTTTAGTACAAGGATAAGGTTGCATACACCTGACACTCCTAACCCCACCGTAGGAGGGAGCCTTTGTAGCACTGGGGTAATGTTGTTGTTATTGTTGTTGTGGATGACATATGTTTACTAGTAATATAATGAATATAATAATAACATAATAGTACAAGTAATCTTTTGTTGTCAGCAAGAAAATGTTTACTCACCATCTCCTGGAGAAACCGAAAACTCCTGTCAAATTTGAACTGCACTTCATCTGCAATCAAGAAGTGATCAAAGCCACTAGCATAAGGAGTGGCAATAACTAATATGCCCCTGCCCAAAACATAAAAAGTTAGTTACTTATTTACTATGCCATCATCATAGTTTCAAGTAAAATGGAACATGCAGACAAAACTTGGACATATAATGTGGATCACGAGCACACAGGAGCCAACAAATATTTTCACAATAAGGATAAGGCAAGCGATAAGTGTTCTATACAGTGACTTGGGCATACAGATGGCATTCAAAAAAACAAGATTTTTTTATATAAATGAATAAGCTAAAACTGCCTAAAAGTCACCATCATAAATTCATAACCAAGAACAGAGATAGGAGATATATTAAATGAAAACACTCAAGTATGGATGAGGTACTCACTTCTCAGCGAGACGCTCCAGGAATAAGCGGTAGGTGAGCTGAGGAGCCGCCCCAACAAAAACCCCTCCAACAAAGTGTACAAGTAGTGTAGGTTTTGTGTGTCTTGGTCGTAAGACCCATGTTCCCTGACATAGTGTTTGCAAACCATTAAACATTGTTTCACAACTCCCTCAAAAAATTGCAAAACTTTATCTATTGATTTATTTGTTTCATGATAGCCTCTCAAATGTAATTGAATTAGATTGCCCCAACTTTCCTTACAAACAAAATCCTTAATGAACTAGCAGAAAACCAGTGACAAAACAAATCAGCTCCGAGTAATGACCACATAAAGCTGTAGCCAATCAAATTAAATCAATGCGAATAACATAAACAGAAAATGGATGTTCAAAACTTCAAATGATTAAGTGCTTTTGAAGCATCACTACCCATTAGCTAATTTAGCTAGAATCAAATGGGAGTTTCACATGGGCTTTGATAAAAATTTGACTGCATATCATGACGAATTGATGCAAATAAACTTGAAAGTGGAAGGAAGTAGTCGAAGAAAACTCAGATGCTTCACTTTCAGATATAACATTATAGCATACGAGACAGCTCAGATTCTTAACATGATCGTTTTCAGTTCAGTACCTCAACTTCCTTCCAGTCTTTTAAGGTACCCCGAGCATCTTGAGAATGTTTCACCGTATCTGTGAGTAATCTGTATGTAATGAAAGCGTAAGCATACTGTACTGTTTTTTTTTTCAGGACAGAAGCCGAAAGCTTAGCAGCTAACGAGGCCACGTTCTCAGCATTTTTATTTAGAATGCTTTTATTCTCAATAAATCGAACAGATTGCCCTTATTCTATTACTCCGTATTAGCGAGTCAAATTTGTGAAAGTTAAAAATCGACAGAAGACCTTTCAATATTCCGATAAAGCTGAATCCCGCTTCTTTCCGGCTGGGTGTTTTGTGTTTTATCATTGAAGCTTCCACCACATACGATTCTGTCGCAGCGGCGGCCAAAACTACTGTTCCTCGTAAGCAGCCGAGACATTTTACTGATACGGATGCGACGCTTCTGGAGCAAAGAAGCAGAATAACCGTAGGGGGGATGAACAAAACCATGTACCTGCTGCGCGCATAGGAAGCTCTCCATACCTTCGCCCTTTCTGTCGCCCACACAATTCGCCTCTTGTTCACAGTTTTCGTTTGCGCTACAGTTTGCAGGAGGGAGGAAGTCTGGTAAGTGTTTCGTGTTTGTTATGCTGATCAGCCTCACTGGGCATATCAGTTATCAGTATGATGAGACTTAATTATTGACTTATTAAAAACGCAAGTGCTTGCTAAAATGCTTTCTTTGCTTTCACATTTATCTACTTTTGGTTTAGTTCAAGGATCTGGTACAAAACATATGACATTTTCAGATGAATATTACAAAATTAAATTCAAAAGATAAAAGTGTGACTTATTTTAATAATCCAACCTTTTAGTAGTCTTCTTACAATAATCTCACATTTTCGTTATTTAAGAATAATCCAACATTTGCTCCCCATCTTCATTCGCTGGTCCCTGACCAGTTAATGATCTGCTATTCCAAGTTATTTTCTTATCTTTGCAAAATATTATCTTTGTGAAATGTGAGATTTATCGTATAATGATTTGTAAAGATAAGAAAATAACTTGGAATAGCAGGTCATCAACCGGTTAGGAACCAGTGAATGAAGATGAGGTGCAAATGTTGGATTATTCATGAATAACGAAAAGGTGAGACTATTGTAAGAAGACCGCTAAAAGGTCGGATTATTAGTTTCCATTTTCCCAAAAAATGGAAACTAATAATGACATGTTGTTAGACATATTCAGTGACTAGTTGTTAGACATGTTAGTGATGTGATTTGTCACTCTGAAATAAACTATAGTGATTCTTATCCAGATACTCGTACATAGTGATTAGTCATATTTTTATCCAGAAATATAACTAGTCATATTTTTGTCTGATGCAAATCTGTTAGACATATACATGCAATTTTTTCAAAAATAATCCAATATTTCGATGCATTGACATAATTATTTAATTATTTAATATTCAAAGCCACTTTCATAATTCATATGTAGCATCATTATTAACCATTTGATGGAGTATATGGCCCAGGAACCATCGGCTCATAGACTCCTACTTCTCCTACACAAGCCCATTGAGCCCAGGGAGCATCTTAGGCCCAAATACAACGACCCAAGCTTCAAAGGAGCCCATAACACACACTGGGGTGCCTTCGGCCTCCTTGGCCGAAGGCTCCGAATTACACAGGGCAGTCAGTTTTGAACATAAGAAGCCTCTGGGAGAAAACGACGTAAAATGGTAGCCCTCGGCAATCATGAGCCTTCGGCACGCAAGGTGCCCTCGGCATCAGGAATGTCTTTGACATCCACATACCTTCGGCTACATAGGGCCTTCGGCCGAAGGGGAAGCCTTCGGCCAACTGCTCAATCATCGAAGATTTCCAAAGCCCTTTGGAGACAAGCAACCACCGCATTTAATGCGACGTCACATCCACCCACTGCATTCAATGCGGTGAACGTGCCACTGCCAGTGCCACCCGATTGATGTGACCCTTCGGCCGTTGGATTACTGACACGTGTACTCTCATCGCATTTATTGCTGCTATAAATAGCAGCACATTCCTCCTTGTAAACGGTCCACAACCCAACTCCCACACGCTGAGTTCATTTAATAAATCGACTCTCTCTCCTCCTATTTTGCTCTGACTTCTCTCTAATTATTCCCGCAATAACCCCTCGGATAAGATACCCCCGGGTACACTATCCATCACCATTTTTACTAAACATGTGATACTTTATGTCACGCATTGAATTATATAGTAAACAAAAGTTTCAAGTTAATTTTCTAATTAAGTTAATTGAAATTATTTAATTATTTTTATATAATTTGTTCTTTACTTTATTGATGCAGTATCATTTAGATATATTTTTCATAATACAACCGCAACAAATTTTCTCTAATTTCATAGACTCAACAAATTCAACCAAATCCCCTTTTTTACCCCGGAAGGCCAACCACCAAAATCAATGGAGTAAATGTCGGGGAACATTTACCAGATTTTATTAAAAAATATTTAAAGTTACAGATTGAGGGGGGACTAGACCAAAACCCCTCAGGAGGCATACCCCCAAAACAAACAAATGAACGAGAAAGAAGAGAAAAAATATTGGGGGGCTAGACCTGACCCAATATTACAAAATAGAAAAAAAGGAAAAAAAATTGGGGGGTTAGGCCTGACCCAAAATTAGACAATAAGATAAAAAAAATACAAGCATAAATTAATGAGAAAATCTAAGAGAAGGCACCCCAAATAAATCCATAAAGAATGCATATTTAGCTTGGGCCGGTAAATCTGAAGAGCTAGCAAAAAAACGTCTGATGGGCCGAACATTGATTTGCTAAGTGGCGTGCAGTCCAGTTTGCTTCCAGGCTTCCAGCATGACACAACCAAATCCCTGTGCATACATCTTCTTACATGCATGGCAGAACTAGGTTGGTTTAGATCTATACAAATAATTCCTTAATTTCACACAAGTTCTATCCAATCAGGACTTAATTTTCTATGATACAACAAATTCTTTAGTTTTCATCTCTTCATTTTTTTGGCATTTGAAGATTGAACCCGTTTGGTAACACTGAAATCGGCTGAATCGGTTGTTTCTGTTGATATTTATGAACTTCTGGCTGATGTGGCTGTATTGGCTGATTATGCTGATTTATGAAAAAATCATATATAAAATATACGGAGTATTTTATTAATAAAATAAAGAAAAAAATATTTTAAAAAATAGCTAAAATGATTCTCTACAGTAACTTAAGCCAATACGGCCAGAAAAGTAACTTCAACCTTACTTTTTCTTATTATTACACAATTCAACGTGTGAAATCAAAAGTTACATATTTGGTGAAAAAGTTGACCGATAAGACTGATAAGCCAGAAAACATTCTCACCAAAGGGTTCTAAATTTCATGAATGTTAATACTCCCTCCGTCCCTATATAAAGAGCATATTTGCTTTTCACACATTTTTAGGAGGAACACTGTTTGACACTATTTGGACACAGTTTGACACGATTTTGCACTGTTTTGCTTGCCAAAAGGGGAAATGTGCCTTTTATATAGAGACGACCCAAAAGGGAAAATGTGTCTTTTATTTGGGGACGGAGGGAGTATCTAATTATGATTTCTACTTCATTTGCTATCACTTTGCACACTTGCTAAGTTGCTATACATACTCATGTCCGAGTTACTTGCAAGTTACAAAATGACAATAAAAAATCAATTATCACACCAAAAAATTCGGTATACATGAGTACCAAAATTTTCCCTTTAGATTTAGCTATTGGAGGAATGGAGGCTACTTTTTATCAAAACAAGCAGACGTATATTAAGTGTGAAATAAAGAGAAGTAAAGCTGGGCAGGTGCATCATTCAATTCCTTGAATACCGCCATATGCCATACACCATACTGGCAGTTTCGATGCTCTGCCATTACATTGAGCTGCCCAAGCTGCCTGTGATGTCATATCTAAGTATCTAACCCTGGATATCATTGACAAGTCTCATGCAAAAACTCAGCATCATGCTATACACTTAACTATAGGATTGCACTTGCCCATCTAATTAAACAATAGCTAGTCATCAAGACTAAGCTTTCTGAATGAAGCTGAGAATATAACTTACAATTCCTAATTCAAAGAAGATTTAAAACTAGAAGATTGCAAATACAATCTTCAGAGGCCATCCTTAATGCCAAACCTTATATTTTGCACCTTTATTGACAGTTTTTGTCTATGGTCTTCTATATCCTTCAAAACTGATAGAAGGTTTGCACGGTAAACTTCACATTTTCTATTGGCGATACTCAATTCATTAGAAAGTTCAAGGATCTTCCTGTCCATGTCATCCTGCAAAAAATATGTTTTTAGGATAATAAGACAAAATAACGGAACTATGTAGAATACACATCTATCTGACAAAACATTATGATAAGACAGGCAATTGGGGTAAAAATACATGTAAGAATAACTGTTGAAATCAGGACTTTTGTTAATCTCCATGGCGAAAGCAAATTCTGCTTCTTAAAAACTATATCCGAGGTATAGTTCATACCATCGTGTGCACATTATCCATTAGTTGATTGCAAACACAATAAGCAACTAACACAGAGATAAATTGTGTAATAAGGATCACATGAATCTATGATAGCCAGCTCCAAACAGGCAGGAAGTTTAGCTAAACTAAATAGGGCTACTAATTCTTTTAACTGTTAGGGGAACTTCCTCGATTTGTTAAATGGCAATCAAATAGCATTTGTTTTTGTTGGCAGCCTGTAGATGCTGAATGAGCTATTTCAAAAGCATGTTCATGAAAAATATTCACTTTCGGCCCCTGGACTATCAATTCGTTAGCACTTTTGGTCTTGTACTTTAATTCTTTTCCACTTGTGGAGCACAAATATGGATTGTTTACTACTTATGGTCCCTCATGGTCACTTATCCAGCAAAAAACTAACTCAAATTGTGAGAAAGTTCGCCGGGGAAGTGACCTGAAACAGACTTTAAGTGGGAAGAATCCACAGACATGTTCCAAAAAAATTAAAAATGAAAGTCAGCTACCAAAAGTGAATCAATTAATTGTCATGGGACCAAAACTGGAAAAATTTATGTTGGTCATTGCACACAGCTTCAAAAATGGATGGGGAATTGGGCAATAACTGAATAGACACCAACCTCAAACGGTGGCTTTGTGAAGGTCACATTCTGATCCTCCACAGCATTGGTACCCTCCCTGGTACCATCACTTTTTGATTCATTTTGGTTACGCCCACTCAAAAGGGAGATCTTCTCATTTGCTAGAGAAACTTTTTTTGAAGCCTCACCCAAAGCAGCCATTGCCACACTATAAGTGTGCTCTGATTCCGCCCCTGTTTCCACAAATTTGAAAACCTCTTGTCTCAACGTATTAAACCGAACAGTATGCGATTCCAAATATCCACTCAACGAGCCTGGAACCTGTTCCTCAAGTGTAACAGAGCTCTTTGCACTCCTCGTCCATCTCTTCAACACATAATGAGAGGGAAGTGTTGGAACATTTGTCACTCTGAAAACCGCCAACACATGTCCGCATAGAAGACCTGAGAACTCAAACATCTGACAACTACATGTGGCTTTCATCTCAAGAACGTTAAATTGGACGTAGTAAGTTTTTTTCTCACCAAGAAACTTTATAATTCGGAACTTTGTCACATCCCCATTGTCCTCGACCTTGGTTGCCATGAAAGAGAGAGTGTCG